CTAACTTTGGCAGACACATCCAAAATGGACGGGGCGTACTCAAGGTGGGCGGTGCATAAAACTCAGTAACTCGGTTCGCGAGAGTGTTCAGAAGCCGCAAAAAGCTCAGTGCAGAATGTAAATATCTGGCGAGTATTGGGCATGCTCAAAATGTGTTGAGATCCGCCCACAGTGGGCGGAGCTTGCCCTAAACCGCAGGATACTCACTTTAAAAGTTCCCATGCTCTACCCATCCCCACCTTGACCCGACCTCTCCAAGTCGTTCTTCAGGTCGAACCGAATTTCCGGACAGACAAACAAACTTACAAACAAACAAACCAACAAACTTACAAACAAACAATCTTGAGAGAGAGAGTAATAATGGTCTTACTCATGTCTGTCAATGTTGGTTACATGACAATTTAGGAACTCACTTTGCAACTCTTTTGGCAGGTGTTGAGTCCGGGTCTTCCATACCTGCTCTGTAGTAGTGGAAGGTGATATGGGCCGGAAAGTCGACACTGAATCCGATTGACATAATTGTTGTCGACATCGAAATTGGATCCAGATCAATGCCCCAATACGAGCGGAGACCAAAAACTCCTGCAAAAATCAGGTGAAGACTACTGTATCAACTAATAGCAACTGAAGCAGACCGAGTATGGAAGACAGCACTTCCATGGTTGCACAATGTTACCGTTATTTAGCTTGATCTAAGGTCTGACCATAATCGCACAATAGTGGCTTTAAAATATTGGGTGACAGTGACACAAGGATTACTCACCTATACAAATTGATACGATCGACGCAGTGGCGACCACGACTGTGAAGAGATTGTACATAAACACAAAGCATACAATCATCATACAGATTATGGTGAAGATAGATGTTGTAATGGTGGCCGGCAACATTGTGTCTAGCTAAAATCAGCAAGAATCATAGCAAGCAATATTGGGATTGCTCAGTATCGAGGGAGCGAATGTGCAGAGTGGTGGGGGTAACCTGCGCTGTTCGCCTTGGGGAGGCATCCTTTTTTATTTTTTTATTTTTGATGGAGACCTGCAAACTTCTGCCAGGCTATGCGGTGGCACTCAGCGAGCCTTGTGCAGATTACGTTGTGACGGCTTGTGAGCACTTTTGAAGCTCATGCAGTCATGCGTAATAAGCTCAAAGAATATCGTAGCTCCGCATCACGAGTATTATGCGAGAAAATAGAAGAAACAGACGAACCAGATTTTTGCAGAGAGTCTAAATAATTCTGTTGTTTCTTCATAGAGCCTCCCATAGTATGAATTCGAGCGCGCGACTCTGCGAAATGCAACTAATACCCCAGAAATGCGCTTTATACGTTAGAGTGAACCAGGGAATGTCAATTTAGCTAAGTTGACCTCACTTAGCACCTTTCCGCCCTCGCCTGTGGGGACACCGGTGAGATCGCCTGTGGGGTGACCTTGCCTAATTGGCTGCGCTGGCTGGTGACCTCTCACCAGCATTTCCAGCTCAGTGAATATTATTGATAAATAGAAGAAAGGGGAAATCAAGAGTTAGGAGAATTAAAGTCACTTAAAGGTTCAGAAACACACGCTTGAATGGAAAATGGGTCTGGAAAATGTGAAGAACTTACCTTCTACGCTATATGGATGACAGAAGTACTTACGAACTGAGCTACAGGCAAACTAGTTAACAGCAGATGACCTTTCGCACATCATTAGACCTACACACCTTAGACACATCATTACACCTTGCTTTTGATTCCCTTGTATCAGACCCTCTTCGAAGGTCAATCGTGTCAACAAGTGTTTAGGCTGAAGAATTGCATTGAACAGCACCTTTCCGTGTTTGTGTCTCAGCATGATTTCAGGCTATTACGGCGACTTTCTCTACTCGGTTCTCCTCAGCCATACCTTCTCTGCAGGACCTAGTGCGTCTATGTACAGTACCTATCATGTCAACACTCCCCAACCCCTTACCCTCCACGGCAACACTTCACAACTCCATGAACCTTCATTGTACATGGCCTCTACGATCGACACCCCGACTACAGAATTACCTGATCAGTCGTTCAGCACACCATCCACTTTCCACCTGCCCATTCCTTCTCCATCATACAGTGTATATGGATCTTTTACAGGCACTTACTACAGCACAATGCATGCGGCCGAAAATGGCCAGGTATGTTACAGACACAACTTCATAGTTTTGTTCTTGTAATTCGTATGTGCTTCTTTTTGTACTGAAATGTGCTGCTTTTTCATACTGTAATTGTAAATCTTGTGCAAAATTATTATTAATATTAGCCTAATAAATTGGCATCAATAAATATTGATTCAGTCCCTTGTTATGCTTTGAGATGAGCGTTATAACAAGAGGTCAGTCTATTATGAGAGGGCTCCCCACTGGCAAGGCACACTAGGTGCGAGATGTGCCAGCCTAATTACCGGCTTACAATTAGCTAAAGTTACACACCCGAGTGAACCAAGCTTAATGTTCCGAGGTTTTTCTGAGAATGTGAGCTGTTGATGTAAAGGAGTACCTGATCCAAGAACGGAGCGTAGTCGTCGAACACGGATACGTTCAACTCTGGAAAACTGTCAGCCGTGTGTCGCCATCTTAAGAAATGATTATCTGTATAATGTCTTACTAAATACCAATATCGGCAAAAGCAAAATGGAATGAGTACGAGCAAACCTGTCCAGAAACGTTCTTCTGTAGGAAAAATCGCCCATTAGTTCTCCGTGATAGGAAACCGTCACCCAAATGCGAATCATTCTGCAACATTGTGAACTGATTCAGCGGGAGCATTGAAGTGACTCCTAACGAAACGATAAAGATACCGGAGCAAACGATGTTTCAAAGAGCGTTCTCGCAAATAACAGATCTGAGCGGGAAGATAAGCATTGCTGCTTTAGTGATCCAATGGAAACATTCACCACAACATATCGTACAAAGGCAAACTTAAGAACTTCCTAAGAGAGCCTTTGATGTTATTCTTCTGAGCCGGTGAGGTAGTACGGTGGAAGCTTTTGAGCGTACCCAAGCGGAAGTGCGGACAGAAGACCGTTTTCTGTATACTGTTCGCACAGAAAACGGTGACTACCTGGTACTGAAATTCTATATCTGGCTCGGACACAGCTGGATGATGATGTGGTCTCACAATTAGTGATCATTCCTAATCACCTCATCCGCCAGCAGGTGCGAAACAGAGCCCATGATAAGCCGTGCATATGAATGTCCTCCTAAACGTGAAGGAGGCATTCGCGTCGAAGCTGGCGTGATTCACCAAACTGTATGTCAGATAATGGAAACCATAGCCCCAATATCAGCTGCACAGCTTTTAAAAGCAATTTTCTTTTACAGTGCTCTTGTTTTTCTTTTCTTTCTAGAATCAGATGGCATTCGGTAATAGAAGATGCAAAAACGTAGCAAGCTCGCAAGTCGTTTTTTATGTTTCACGACGCTCTATCCTCCTAGGCGAACCTTATTCCTATTTACCGTCCTGAGACAAAAATTTTGGTTGCTCTGAAGAAGAGCTGATTTCGGAACTAGACCTTCTTAGCGCTCATTGTCATTTATTTTTTATTTATTTATTTATTTATTTCCATACACTCGAGGTGTGCCCATAAAAACTATAAAAAATACACCGTGAAAGGACCATGGCGGAAACTACAGATGGGCTCGACGCATTAACGCAACCATGAACCTGACATCCGATAACAAACACGAGTCCTGGAGACAGGGCGCTAATCCCCTTTATCATCATCATCATTTATTGGTAATCACAATGTTACAATAGAAGGAAGGCAACTCAGGATGATACCGTTGATTGACTTCTATTTTGCACTGCGGGAACTGACTGGAACAAGGATATGTTCCCTACATAGAAAAAAAAATTAGAAGTAAATCATGGTTAAATTGAAGCACACCAGATATCATACAATACTATGGATAGTGCAGTAGTTGATGTCAGAGGTGGCTCCACATCCAGGATGAACCCGAAGGAGAACTCGATGTTCCACTCACACCTCGATTCACCGGGGTCAGTGTCAACTGAATGTGCAACCGCACGAAGCGATGGGAGGGGTGACCGTAATTTGAGTGGTCCAAACAGATGCTTCCCGGCCACGATAACATCAGAATAAGTAAAGATGAAGCAAGGTTGCCATATATGATATCGGATGTGATTTGAATTATAGAAATTTTTTTAAAAGCAGAAATTGCAAAGTGCAACTAAGATAAGTTGATTCAAAAAAGTACTCTTTTCTGGAAAGAAAAAAAGATAAAAAAGACAGTTTGTCATCAGAGTAACGTTGGAGCTGAGCTAAGAGAGAGAAGAATCATGGAGATTATCACGTAACGGTGCGATGATCAGCGATATTTGTATCAATCGCACATTCTTCTCTTTCTGCGACCAATATTACTTGTTTTCCGAAGGTGGATCCAAATGGAATGAAAGCGATTGGGAAAAAAGATGCTCGACAATGCAGAAGCCTGAACCAGTTATCCGAGGGAGCCCAGGGCATTCATTTCCTTTACTCATTAATACACATATAATAAGAGGCCCATTTGTAGTTTACCATGATCCTATATAATGTTTGCATGTGCTCGTTTCCAATTTCTCATGCCAGACCTTGTTGTAGATCTTCTTCGGGACATATCATGGTTAAAATCCAGCAAAGAATTTCAAAGAACTGCTGTAACAAAGTCATGGAAGAACGTTGTTTGGGAAGTTCTTGAAGTTTTTCTTTATTCTCTACTGGAGTGTCATTTACAGCTACTTGTTCATAACTGGACAGAAGACATAACAAAAAGAACTTGATAGTCTGTATTAAGGTGAAATGATCGAATTAACTCTGCCATATGTGTTGTTACGTTTTCACCTTCAAATACAAAGTAAGAAGGACAAAGAGGGGCACATCACGCCTCGACTGGAAGAAGCAACTGTGCAACTCCCATGCTTACTTTCCGTGTTCGTCGAACTTGACAAAGCCATTCCAGTGCTTGAATTCCGGCCATGAGAAGAATGGCTGCATAGCCTTCTCGGAGAATATGTCAGTCTTATCAGCAGTGATGCCAAACGCCCTCTCTTCCTCGAGCTCCACTGCTTCACGAAATAGTTTGTAGTCGCTAAAAGAAACTCCTGTTATCAGGCTTTTGAAGCTTCCTTGGTGTGGCAATAATTTCATCATAAAGAAAGAAAAGGTGTTGCTGAGAGGTAGCAAGCCCCAATTCCACAATTCCCTTCACAAAAGGTGAACTTTGGCCGACCTGTGGGGCTGAACGATGTCCATATCAGAGGTTTTACCTCTTAGGCAATCTAGTTCCAATTTACCGTCCTGGAGAGCAGAAATTTTGGCTGCTCTGAACAGGAGCCGATTCGGGATTACACGCCCCATAGCTACTGCAAGCAGGCCACTCGCGAATGCAGCAATGCAAGCACTTTATCTAACTTCGTATTTTTTTTCTAGAACGAAAAATTTAGAGAGACCGAATCATAGCGTACGCGTAGAACACTGCTTTTCAACAGTGACGACACACCGGGTAGGTAGAAATTGGTACGCTTGACCTCGTTAATGACTTGTCTCGCACCTATGATTCGAGGCATAATTAGCGAGGTGCGAAGCGACCTCATTAAGCCGAGGCACGTCGCGCTAACTTCGGCTGGCCCCGGTAAGAGGAGAAGTATTGAGCTATCCAGGCACGAATCCATTGAAAATTTTCGGTGAAGTGGGTAAAAAGGTTGCTATATATTCCAGCTATTTATTAGTTTATTATTATTAATATTATTACAACTATTCAAACAAAAACAAGTGTGCAAATCGAATAAATATGTATCATATAGTTTTGTTTGTAACAAACTGGGACATCTTTCTGCAGTAGGACTCTATTTGGGCGCTTGATACTCCCTGCTGATAAAGCTCATTGAATCTGAAAATAATAATAGTCAGGATCACGGGCGGGGACTATGTACCCTGAAAGTTGTGTGGGGGGATAATGTGCGGTAGAATCTGATCCACGTAATACGAGGGTGCTGGTGTAGCGGCGGAATAAGATGTTGCTTCCTGACCGACGAAGTAGGATGTTCCCGGTGCTGGAGTAACGCAGTATGTTGGTTCCTGACCGACGAAGTGATAAGGTGCTAGTGCGGGAGGAAATGTGCATGGTGATACAGCAGGAATCAGGAATCAGCAGAATATAGTAATGCTGGATTAGTACTTGAATACATGGTAACACAAGGACTTGCTCAAACAACCAACTCGCGTGTTTGCTTTCTACCTGTTAGCTTAAGTATCTGTTCATGACCTCTCGTTGAGGTGTTGTGTTTGGCCAGAGGGCTCTCAAAGTGATAGAGAAGTCATTACCGGGCCAATATAGAAGGCCAGAGGGGCATTACCTGAACTAACCCGCCGAAGGCAGGCAATGAGATTCAGCTATATGCAAGAATGCACTTCGTAAGCGTATGGGTTTCCACGAGACCTTCTTGAAGCTTCTCGTCATGAACTCTTGTATGACCGGATTTACATTTTTTTCTATCGATTACTTGAATATTGGTTAGCTAAAGCTAGCTTATACCATTCTATTGAGTTTGTCAGGTAGCGCTACCTTATCGTACTACTTTTTCGTAAGCCTTCACCTTAATCTTTTTTTCTTTTTCGTAAGCCTTAACCTTAATCTGTTGGGAGTTTTCACTCAATTTGTGCCGATTTTGAAAAGCTCGTGCCCGCCTCGGCTAACGTGCCTCGGCTTAATGAGGTCGCTTCGCACCTCGCTAATTATGCCTCGAATCATAGGTGCGAGACAAGTCATTAACGAGGTCAAGCGTACCAATTTCTACTGACCCCGACACACCTACTGCTGCCAGGCCGCTCCCGAGATTACTGTAAGCGGCAAGCAATAAACTGGTCACTCTGCGGTGGATCCGAGATTAACCAAAGTGGTTTGCGTGCGGCAGTACTGCTTTTCTCCGGAATTACTGCAGAGGAATAGCCAAAGGGAAGAGTATAATCTCACCGAACAAAGTAGTGACTGAAATTTGCCCCAAGGCACTCCGGATACGACTCAAAAGTTTGCACCAGTCGATCCACGACAGCTAGCCTTCCTGGCTCGTTCAAATTTCCCGGCTGTGAATGAACACATTCAATTTTTAGGGTATTTGAAAGTAATGGAAAGGCACTTGCTTTTTGAATGAAGATGTGTGCTGTTGTGTAGTTAACAAGTAGGTAGTGCTCGCGGAAGTGATTCATCTGAAGATGAGAAATATGGTAACAATGTTTAAAAGTCCTGATGTTAAGAGAAAATAACTAAATAACTAAACATGGCTGCCCTGATTCTGTCTCACACAGAGGAATGTACGCACAACGCTAGCATAGAAACCTGCGTAGACCGTTCAACACATACACGGTTGCAGAGGCGGTTCGAAGCGCGATCTATTTACCTCGCCACAGCTTTTCTGATTGCTGCTCTGGAATGTTTTTTTCCACGACTACAACTATTCCTTGAACTTGCGGCAGCAAGCAGTTGGGTTCAAATATGGGAACATTCATTACTCTATTAGCATAGCACCTGAATTCTTACTAAACTTCGCACATAGGGAGAAAGAGCCCGCGTTGGTGACGGGAGCAGTGGAGCTTGGCGCTATCTCTTTTTCCAACGAATTGATTACACTCAAGTATAACTGATGGCAGTCACCTTTGTAATGTGGGCTCTTGATTGCTCCTGACGTCCTTGCCACACTGTTCCATGGATGGATCGATAGCCGTTCTACTATATAAGGATGTGACAGGGAGGGTATCGTTTTGAACGTGCAATTTCAAATGTGGCTACCGATTACTCAGTGTAGCAGTGTAATGAGCAACCGAGAGGGAGCTTAAGGGCAGAGGTGCGACTAATTGCAAGGTGCTGTCAGGTGACTGGTGTTTGCCTTGTTTATGGTTTGCGCGCTGGCGGCCAGGAAGGGAGTCCCTGACTGGACCAAAGGCAGATTAGCTGCTGAGGTCTCGCAGATTGAGTGCGTAGCCACCACACCTTTCGGGGCCAAGAGCCACTAGAGCCCTCGAGGCTGTACAAAACCAAAACGGTTTTGAGGGTCCCCTAGGACGACGTGAGGTAAGGTTAGTGAGGCTTTGGAGGGTCCTGAACCATCACGGAATGAAGAAGTTTGGAGGGCCAGTGCCTCCCAAACCACGGCACCTCCCTTTGATTGGGTCCTCCTAATGATTCTTTGCCCTGATGAGTCGCTCCCCTCACATTGCTTGAACATGTACGCTCAACACATTGAGGGTGTATGAGACTATCAGCCCCCAGCTGTCGATGTGTCGTGGTCCCCCCGCCCAAACATGCCCAGGAATGGAGATACAGGACCGTGAAACACGCTAATTCCTCCATGCTCCGCCTTACACCTTTTTGCGGCGCAGATTCCCGTCCTTCATAACATCCGTCGCAAGCGCGCGTGTCAGAAACGCAATTTTCTGATGCGAGAGGTGCTATAAAATAAGAACAGAAATGATGACGAGGGTCAGAACTTAAAAGCAACTGTGCCACTCCTGCAACATCCCTCGGAGGCCGCGTATTCCCACGAAAACATGAAAATAATTAACGCAACTCGTTAGTTTGATACAAGCAAAACGCAATTTCCTGATGCGAATAAAATTTAGGTGTTGCTCATGCTTCAAAATCCATGTACAAGGAGATGAAGATGACACAGGCTAGAAATGAAGCACACAATGTAATGTAAATGAAACAAAAGTGAAAAAATTAAGGAAAGGCATATTAGTTAAAATCGCCTGTAAATTCCTACGATCCGGCGCGAATCAGGCGCCAAAGTAATAGAAATACTTAGAGCAAACGAGTGGGGCGCTTGGGTTGTTTTTATTCTCATGTTTTGTGGGATGCGCGACCTCTGATGGATACTGCAGATGCAGCCGAAGCTCTGCTCTTGAGTTCTGGCCTTGCCTCATCATCTTCTGTCTATATTTGTAGCAACCGCTCCAATGTTTATTCCGTCTCAAGTGTAAATTGCCATTACTGTATTGATAGCATATTTTGCAGCACCTCCAATGTTATCCGCATCAGGCGTTTTACTTGTATTTGAGAGCGCAATTAAAGGACTTGGCAAAGTGCCAAGGAGCCGCACGCGACACGCGCGCTTACGACGGATGTTATGAAGGACGGGAATCTGCGCCGCAAAAAGGTGTAAGGCGGAGCATGGAGGAATTAGCGTGTTTCACGGTCCTGTATCTCCATTCCTGGGCATGTTTGGGCGGGGGGACCACGACACATCGACAGCTGGGGGGCTGATAGTCTCATACACCCTCAATGTGTGTGAGCGTACTATGTGTCTTTAAGTGAGTCTTCGACACAGCGCTCTTATGTGTAGAACTTTTTCAGTACGAAGACGGATGTTCGCGTCACTCTCATTGCCCTGGAATCTTGTCAACTGGAAGCTATATGCGAGCTTTCAGCTAGTAGTCCATTCAACAAAAAGTACAATAATGTATGATTTGATAGATAACAAACCTGAATAAGACTCGAGTCCTCCAGCAAAAGTTTGTCAATAGACAACAGCACATGGATCTGTAAGGCGCCGACGACGCTGATAAACCAGTAGCAGCATAGTACTATGAGTAAAAAGATAGCCGTAAATTTGTTAGCCAACCACTGAGAGTATTCGTCGAGGAAGTAAGAAAACTGAACATTTTTCTCACAAGAACTGATGAAGAAGCAAGCATAACCTACGAATGAACCTGTTTGCTTTTTATGTTATTCCACTGCCGCGCTATAGTCGTCTTTGAACGTTTTCTCCCCTGCAATTCGCCTGTGATCGACAGCGATGCGGTGAATAACGTTATCTGAGCGATTTTATTGGATGTGGATTGTAGTATTCAATAGAACAAAGGATAAATGAAATAACAAGTTCTTCGAAGAGTTCGCTAATGTCAAAGGCAGTTGGCACAGGTTTTCAACAAGCTTTCGGTCGACATGGTGCCATACATCAATGATTAACTCCTTAAAGGCAGTTGGCACGATAAATCCCCAAGACGACTAGGATCAATACTCCTGGCAGGATAGAATTCCGCGACCCTGGGCAGGCGCTGCATAGCGGTTTCCCCGAGGAAGGTGCCCTTATAAGGGCCCTATCAAGCCACAACTTTACGTCCCAAAACGCCCGCCCACAAATGGACGACCGTTCCTGACGCTCGTATTCATTCATTTGCTAAGCAAATTATGAAGCGAAGGGATTGGTATGAAGCGGCCGTGATGCTGCATGCATACATGGGTACACATATGCAGCCGTATCTTCGGTAGCGGTGATTGGCAAGATGCCTACGGGAAACTCGTCCGAAATCGATTTTCAAGAACGGAGGCTTTTTCTTCGCAGGATTTTGACCGTTTCACTCCGTTCTTTCGCCATTTCCCCACTATACAGCGCCCTACTAGCATTTTAGGCTAAGTAGGAAACCATCGTGCCTTCGAGCCCTGATATACTAATATCCGCATGGAAGTTAATCAGACAGCGCGGGAACGAAGGAGTGTCTGCCTTAGCCTCAGCAAGTGAAATATTTGGCTCAAATGGCTATGTTCAAATGCCACGCCTACTCCGTCTCACAAGGGAACCCCAACAGGTCGATCCGGCCATTTGCAATGAGATGTATATATGTGGACGTGTCTTGAGCCGCTGAATCCAAATCTGCCCTCGGAATTTGCGGAACGATTCTCTGAAGGGAGTTACGGACCATTTAATCTCTGCTCTGTTCGCACAAGTTGAGAACGATAACTGCGTGCGTCAAGCGGCCGATGGCGTAGTGGATAGGCGCACTGCTTTAGAGACACAAGGTCGCATGTTGGATTCCTTGACTCTTAAAAATTTTCGCTTTTGACTCAAAAGACTTCATATGAGTAAATATGCTGTTTTATTACTTCTTCAGGAGATTGCGCCAAAGCTGGCGTGATCTACCAAATCGAATGCCAGACATGTAATGCAACATACATTGGGGAGACTGGAAGGCCACTGGCAACACGTATCAAAGAACATCTTGCTGGTAAAAGGCGTGGTAACATAACAACACCGTTAGGGAAGCATCTGATCGAAGAGCACCGCGGGAGCGATTTTGATGTGAAGTGCAGGATCCTAGCGTACGAGACTGAGATCTCTGCAGAAAAGCGCTAGAGGCATTCTGGATTTCCGCAAGGAATCCTAGAATGAATAACCGAAATGAGTGTTTAGCCATAACAAATGATCTCTTACCGTTTTCACCACATTGCGAGCTAATGATGTAAGCTATGAGATGTGCAAGTCCTGATAGCTGCTATACAAGGACGGCACAGTGAGTCTCACTTACTTTACTAACATCTAGGCGTTGATCCGCTCATGCCGCGGTGGACTTGGTGAGTATGTTTTGCCTACGGGTGGTTTTTCGGTTGTTTCTGGAAGTACCGTCGGAAACGCTAGGGAGACGAGGCGTTTGGCGGTGTAGAGAGCAACGTTTAGGCCTCTGAGGACGGCGATCTGGTCGAAACGTTAGGCCGTGAATGAAGTTTCACCTAAAAACCTCGTTGAAGTAATAAAACATCATATTTAGAGTAATCCCTTACAAATCCTATCCGCAGCCTCATCGTGGCGTGGGGGTGAACGGTTTTGGACTGTTCCAAAAACGTACCAATGCGGAGGGTGCCACGTCAGAGCCTGGCGAGCTACGCGTGGTTAAACTTCTTATCGCCGAAAACAGTAACAGTTATGGGCCTCATTCCCCTGAACCTGAGGGAACCACCGACAGGGCGATG